AGGACCTGTGAAGATAATAAAGTGTGTTTTTTGGGGGGCCTCTCCTGTGTCGCCTCTTGTGGGATACAAAACATCTGCTAACTTAAAATTTCTTGAAAATTATTTGGAATGATAAATACATAAAACTTTATATGATATAGTCTCTTTTTTTATGAAAGAATTACTTTCATTTTTCTGGTTCTTGGTTTAATTATTTAATAAATAATGTTCTAAACTCAGAAACTTGAATTAGTCTTAAAAGTTGCCAATATTGTGTTGGACTGAGAATAGTCATCATCTTACCAATATCATTCACATATTTTCTAATCTTGTTTTTCAGAATGATTGTGCAATTTAGGGTTAAGTAAATTAAATGCTTTTAAAACATTCTGCCCTTAAATATATACATACCTTGATTTACTAAGAATTTCACAGTGAAGTTTATAGTTTGTAAATTTAAATTTTTTAAATTTTATAAACAAGTTTCAAAAAAGAAATTTTGGGCCTAAAGAATGGAATAAAATATGTAACAGAATTAGGACAGAGAGTGAGGGAAAATGAAAGATTTAGAATCTTTTAAATGAGACATTAAATATTTAAATTTAAAACAAGTAAAAAGATATGGTGTGAGAATTAGTAAAATTTGTTGAACTCATCTGCTATAGGATCCTGTAAATCTGCAAATTGCTATGGATATCAATCATTCCATTCATTAAAGACTTCAGAAACACAGGACAAGAAAGGATCATAATATTCCCTTGATCATGGGGCTCAGGGCAACAAAAGTGGGATCTGAATTAAGTGGCTCTTGCTCTTGGAGGGACATGCACCTGGCCAATCAAACAGGTTCTATAGTCAAAATTTTATTATTTTTTTAGTTTAATAAACACATATCTTAGAGGGTAGAGAGACAAATAGCAGAAGAGCAATTAATATCCAGTTATATTTCATACTAGGGTAATACCATCAACACTACTGAAGTATTGACTGTTCCCTGTTTTTCCCCAAACCATAAAAGCATTAGGCTTTATGTTTAAATGAGCATTTTATTTCCTCATTTAGGAAATGATTAGGCCCTGAGGTCTCTACACAGGAGGTAAATGCTAACACTTCTGATGACAGAAATTTGAGAGCTGGATCTTTACAGAGACCAGCACAATAAACTCACAACTAAACACACCAAATCCAGCCCTAGCTGAGTAGTACAGTTGTTTAGAGTGATGTCCAGATACCCCAAGGCTGTGGGTTCAGTCCCAGGTCAGGACACATGCAAGAAATCAACCCATGAATGCATAAATAAGTGGGACAACAAATTGATCTCTCACAAATCAATTCTTTTCAAAATTAAATACACAAAAACCAAACACGCATGTCAGTCCTTGTGCTGAGACCCCCAGGCAACTCAGCAGTGGCAGCGTGTAATTGCATCTAATTGCAGGGCACCTGTCTCCAGAGTGCAGCGTTCAGAGAGAGAGAAAATGAAAACAATTCACTGAAGTTGTAATTGTGAGCAGAGATGCGGTTTGAGGCAGGCCTAAAGCAGTTGGGCAAAGGGGTAGCATATATCAGATGGTCTCAGGAAGTATAATTCCTTACTATGTACAAAATGTATTTGTGGCTCTGGCTGGTGTGGAGTGAACACCAGCTTGCAAACTGAAGGGTCATCGGTTTGATTCCTGGTTGGGGCACATGCCTGGGTTGCAGGCCAGGTTCCCGGTTGGGCATGAGAGAGAAGCAACTGATAACCAATCAAAGTTTCTCTCTTTCTCCCTTCTTTCCCCTCTCTTTAAAAGATAAATAAAATCTTTTAAAAAAATGTAATTTTGTTACAACCCCAGAAAACATAACTAGCTTTATGTTTGTCTTTTTACTGTATTTCAGTGATACAAGTAAGTGAATCTGATACCCATCTAAAAATACAGATACTTTCCAAATGATATTTGCAGTCAAGACAGTGGGTGTCAAGTTGAAAAGAAAAGAAATGAAAAAGGAGCGGGAAAAAAGATAATGGGTACTAGGGAAGCACCTGTGTAGGTGTGGCAAGGGCCATCTGAACCTGAGATAATGGTTTGGGACACCATGATGTCATCTCTCATCTCCTTGGTATAAAATGATTATCATGTCACCTGTAATTTCCACTAAATACTTGCATGGGCACTTGAGATGATCCTTGAAAAACATTTGCAGATTGTACAAATTACTGAAAGCAATTAATGTTGAATTATAAAGTTTTGTGTTGAAAACAAATCGCTAGGGAACGACCTACCTGTGAAACATATTTTTGAAAAAAATCTTGGAACACGGGGCAGGCCTGAAAACACTAGGATGTAATAAGTGAGAATGAAACAGCTCTTTGTTATCCAGGATTATTAATAATTTTGAAAATTTTTCTCAAAATATTTCTTTCCAGAGTACTGGAACAGAAGGTATAGTAGCAGATGAGAGAGAAAAAGAGATAAGAGATGAACAGAAAGGATAGCAGGGTGGTTCAAATGAACAGATATCTGTGATGTCATTTCAGTAACTACCAAAGAGTCGTTGAGGTTCTTACGTCTTTTGGGCACTTTGGTAGCTATACTGGACCATTATTGTATAAGACATGTAACCTAACTTCTAATGGAGAGACAGCATTACATAAAACCCAGTTACTAAATTTAGTTCATTAGTGTTAAGTTCTATGGAAAATGGAGAAGAGCAAGCACAAATAATGAAATATTCAGTGATCAAGGAACATTGGCAACATAAAATATGTTAAAGATGTGTGCGGGCAGATTTGATTCTTCCTTTGAAATCTGTAAATGTTCGCCCTGGCTGGTGTGGCTCAGTGGATTGAGTGTCAGCCTGAGAACCAAAGGGTCGCCAGTTTCATTCCCCATCAGGGTACATGCCTGGATTGTAGGCCAGTTCCCCAGTTGGGGGTGTGTGAGAGGCAACCACACATTGATGTTTCTCCCTCCCTCCCTCCCTTCCCCTCTAAAAATAAACAAAATCTTTAAGAAAAAAAAGAAATCTGTAAATGTTCCTATTTTCCTTGCATTCGTGTAATGAGAGGACTATAAGCTAAAATAATGAAGAGTGCCAAATCGACAACTTACCTCCACTGGACCCACCTTCCCTGTCTTCCCTGTTCTAGCAGAAAACAGAAAGTACTGTGATGAGATCCAGTCATTCACTTTACATTGGAAACCACCCATCTTGTCTTCTCAAGGATACTATGCCTGAAGCTCATTACCTTCTTACAGTGCTATCTTCCCTCCTCCATCTTATTCCCAACAACATCCACATGTGGTGGTGTTGCTGCAATAAACAACATGATGCTGCTGTTCCAACCTTCCTTCAGCTGATACTATTTATTACCCTACTTCCCATCCTAGCAAAAATGCTATCAGTGAATGTGGCCATCTGTTGGCTCCTATTCCACCACCTACTCCAGGAAGGTTTGTGGTTTTTAGTTTTGTTTTGTTTTTGAGAGTTATAACTAAAACCACTATCGCCTAATTTATGGTCACTTCAACTGACCTCTGAGGTTGGAGCAGAGGAAACAAAGTGGGGGAGAGGAAAGGAGGAGGTGAAATAGATAGGACATGAGTACCAGGCCTGTAGAGTCTCCAGGCACCTGGCTTCTACCAGAAGTAATTTTTTAAATTGATTTTTGTGGGGGTAGGCGGATATCAATTTGTCATTCCACTTACTGATGCATTCACTGGTTGCTCCTTGAATTTGCCCTGACCAGAGACCTAACCCATAACGTTGGTGTATCCAAGTGATGATCTAACCAAATGAGCTACACACCCAAGGCCCAAGTCAGTGTTGGCAGTGTGGTGAGAGGATGTGTCCATCCCTACTGTGGCATCTGTAAGTTTAAAGCTGAAATGAACAATCATTTAGAAACCATTACAGCAAGTTCACAGAGTCTTTTAAATCTGACTACAAAGGACTTTCACTACATCTGGCTTTCTTGTTAATTTTCTATTTCTAGTAAGTCATTTTCATTTTGTTTTTCTTTTTTTCGGTTTTTCTTTTTTCCCCAGTAAGTCATTTTTATTGCATCTTGTGTAAGTGTGTCTGGGAACAGATCAGAAGGAGTAGATGAGCCAGGGGTGAGCAGATCATTCACCAGAGACCTTTTGGGAAGCTCTGCCCTGAGTGAAGCCATTTAGGGGGGTTCGATCGTGACCCAGAGAATCTAGTCAGATTAGGCTTTAATAGGACCCCCTAGTGGCTACTTGTAGGATAGACAAGGCTGGTACGATAAGGGGAGGACAGCGGGAAGCTGACCTCAAAAAACCAGAGGAGGAACGGTGGGTCCCGGCTGTGGAGCTGAAAGATGGCCCGATTCCAGATGTAACTTGAAAGCTGAAGACAGATTAGGCTGCTCTACGGGCCCCTTGTCAAAAACAATCCCTGGTCTCTCATTTCACATGTCAGGAAAGAGAAGGGCTGAATTTCATGGATAATCTTCCTGTTGCCTTTCTTCCTACTGATAAAAGGACACCTTCTACCGCGGCCAGATTGGGGATTTCTAGTCTTTCGAGTAATTGAAATAGTATTTTTTTGCCTCTGGGAGCATTACGAGTTTCACGGAATCTAAAAGAATGTGCCTCCAAACAGTCAGGGGTCGCTTGCACACAACACTCCCCAGAGACCTGCCAAGCGCCCCTGAAACCTAAAGATTTTAATCCCCAGGGCCATTCGTGTTGCTACAATTTTTTAAAATTTATTTATTTTAGAGGGAGAGATGGAGAGTAACATCAACGTGTTGTTCCACTTATTTATGCATTCATTGGGTGACTCTCCTATGTTCTGCCCAAAGGAGGTAAGGGGTGGCATGTGGGGGGAGACGCTCTAACCAACAAAAGGACCCCACCAGGGCTGCTGCCTCAAGTCACTTAATCCCTGAGCGACGGGGACACAGCGTCCTGAAAGGCGGAGGAAACTACATTACCCAGAGCGCTAGGCGCCCAACGATGGCGGGGTTGAGTCAGTGAATAGCCGCGCGGAGCCCGGGTCAGGGCGTGACACACGCGCCCACCTCTTGGCGGTCAGTTTGGCCTCTCTGCTGGTTTCACCGAGTGAGAGTCTTCAGAGGCCAGGTCGTCCCAGAGGAGGGGCCAGAGGAGTGGTCCCCGCTGCGCAAGGGTGCGTCCGAAGCTTGACCCGCAAAGGGCCTCGCGGCCTCAGCCCCGCCCACAGAGTCCGCCGGCGGCAGCCGCGCTGAGGGGAGGGCGCGTCCCCCGGGCCCGCCCCCCCCCAGCCCTGCAGCCCCCGGCCCGGCGCCCGTCAGGTGCGGCAGCCCAGGCCCCGGCGTCCGGGACGTGAGGCGCTCGCGGGGGACACGGTGCGACGGGGTGGGAGAGGGTGACGGGCTGAGGGGCCGCCGTGCAGAGACGCGCCGGGTCGGCTGAGCCGGGGGGATTCCGAAAACCCGCGCCCCGTGTTGTGTGTAAAGGCGACGGAGAAGCTGAGGCGAAGTTGTGCGTGAGTTTTACTTCCATTCTCCGGACGCGGGGGCCGTGGAGGATTATGAACAAAACAGGGACACTGTCTGAGATCGGGTTGTAACGTTTTAAAACACCGCTCCGAGGCAGGAGAGACCAGAAGAGGCGACAGCGGGTGGGAACCGGAAGGTGCGTCCTGTGGAAGGTGAGGGCACTGGCAGAGTCTGCACGGGGGGCGGCGGCCCTGAGGTGGCGCGGGCACCTCGAGGGCACCGGGTCCCGGGCCGGGCGAGGGCACTTAGCGGCCTGAGTCGGTGGGTCCTGGCGGTGGTGGCCAGGCTCTCGGCAGACCTTTCTCTCTCCGCAGACTCTGCAGAGTCACTTAGGGTCCTGGTTTGTGGGACTTGTTTCAGGGCCTCCCACTCTTCTGGTCTGTGAGAGGGAGGTGTCCTGGGACTGTGGTGCCACGCTTCCGGCCCTGGGGCGACCCTGAACAGACCCAAGCCCAGGGTTCTAGGTCCAGGTATAGGGTTATGTGAAGTGGTTCCCGTGTTTGGCAACCGTTGGAATGAGATGTGGGAGGTCCTCCCAGGCATAGGTATCAGAACGTGCAAGGGTTTGGAGGGGAGGCTGGACTGGTTCAGGGATCTACAGGTTTGTTTCCATTCTTATGGCAACTCGGACCAGCAGGACAGGAGTCAGGTCTAGAACAACTTTGTGACAAGTTGGCTGTCTGTTCTGCAGGTGGTGGGAGTAATGCAGCAGTGGAGGCAGATCTGACCCAGGTCTCAATAGACTTGCTGTGGCTGCAACATGGAGAACAGTGGGTGCGAGGGAGGTGGTAAAAAGACCAGGGAGGAGGCTGGTTGTATAATCTGGGTTACTGTGAAGGACCAAAATGGGAGAAACATTTGGAATCTGGATGGATGTTTTAGGTGTGGCCTCCTGGATTTTCTAATTTTGAGGTTCAGAGAAAGAAAGGTAGGAGTCGGGGGTGACTTTAACGTTTGGTATGTAGGAGCTGGAGGTCTGGAAACACCATCAGCTGAGATGGTAAAATCCACAGTAGTAAGCATAGTTTTCATTGGTGACATCAGGAGTTTTACTTTTGGCCTGTTAATGGTATGAGTTGTTTCAGAGAGCAGTTCAAGGGCATCTGGAACTCCAAGGAGGAGTTCAGGATGGAGACTTCTCCAAAAGGTAGAGAGTTTATGGACCAGGGAGGAGTTGTAGGTCACTGTGAAATACGGAATCATGATGATAATGGTAGTAACCCCGAAAGACTGGGCAGGACTGAGGCCTGGGTTTCCTGCTGGGGCTTTGGGTTTTGGGAGGGGGGTTCATAGCACAGCTTAGAGACAGAAGTGGTCATGTAGGGGGTAGGGGTTAAGAGTATGGTGTGGCACATGGCCAGGGACATTAACAGATAGATGGACATAAATGGAATAAAGGCCTCAAGAGTAATTCACACAAGAGGAGACTGGAGCTGGTGTATATTCACTGCTCTAACGACTCATCAGGAGTTTGTTGTGACCCTTGGTGAGATCTGGGGTGTCCTAGTCAGGCTGACAGATTAATGTAGGGGCATAACTAGTCATCTGTGAGATTCACTGGGCATAGGGTGGAGGGCCACTGGGGTTGGGCCTTCAGTAAATGTGAGGTAGACAGGGGAAGTCTGAGACTGGTGGACAGACATCAGGTGCAGCACCAGTGGAGTCGGGCTGTGCATATCTGAGATCTGATATGGTTCTCAGTCAGTGAGGTTGAAGCAACTGTCAGGGAGGGAGGCCTTCACAGTGGGTCTCAGGGCAGCCCCTGTCAGTGGGGACCATCAGACTCTGGGTAGTACTCGATCCTGTTTGAATTTATCCTGTATTCTCTGGACCACGTATACTGAGTACCGAGTAGAGAGGCCAAGGTGACGACTGTGAGGCAGGGCAGGAGGAGGCCGGGGCTGTGGGAGTGCAGGTGTGAAAGAGAGGTGTGGTAGGAAGACTGAGGTACACTTGGAGGGGGACTGTGAATTCATGGCCCCAAGGCCTTGGCCTTGACATAAGTGTGAATGAAGGATCAGCCCATGTCTGGCATTGTCTTGAAGAAGCAATATGGGGAACATCAGAAGAATTGCCTGAAATGAGGGGGCGTTGTGACACTTCATGCCAGGTCTGGAGATTAGATTCCATTTATTTGCCCACCTGCTTACTGTTGTTGAGGGCTGATATAGTGATCGATAGTACCTGGTTGAGATAGCAGATGTCAGTGCCACCTAGGATTAAAAACCTCCAGTGCCACAGGGAAGGGGGAAGGGTAAGAAGAGGATAGATTATAGAGGTGGTGAAATTAGAATCCTGGGAAAGAGCCTGATCTGAGGACAAACAGTTCCTGTCATGGACGGGCTGTGCTACCTTTGAAGTTTTGCTTTTGGGAATATAGTTGTGTGAGAGAAGTGTGGTTCAAAGAATTATGTACACAGGGTTATATAAACTGATGGCGTCAGTGCCCTAGGGCTGGGATTATAATGGTGGAAGATAATGCCATCTTTTTTTCTCTTGAACAATCTGGGGCACCAAAGGGGTATTGCCTGACAAGACCAGTGTCAAATCACTAACACTATCTCTATGGCCAACTTTAGTCCCTAACCATTGTTTGTGACACCCACTGTATTGACAAGAGTCAGTGTGACCTCATGCCAGGCCCATTATCTCAGGTATTGTCTGTCACCTATCTCTCTATTGTTGTGGGAACACACAGTATCGATGGGAATATTGGAAGAGTGATACTGATGGCACCAAAGCCTGGTATCTTCTCTTATGTAGGGAGTTGAGTGAGCAAATGGATGTGGAGTGTGGGGGTAGGACACACTTGGAGCAGCTGATCATGGAATGAACTCTCCTCATTCTGACAGGATATGAAGTTTGAGGACGTGGCCATTGCCTTCTCCCAGGAGGAGTGGGGGCTCCTTGATGAGGCTCAGAGACTTCTGCACTGGGATGTGATGCTGGAGATCTTTGCACTTGTAGCATCTGTGGGTAAGACCTTCACATCTCTCTTCATGTCCTGAGGTGACATCCTGCCTTCCCTATTTTCTTTAGAGGTAGCATTGTCTTTCCCACAGCCATACCATGAGCTCTGTTGATTTCTAACACTCTGTTGTCAGCTGTGCTGTGGCTGTCAGTGCTGAGCTGTGTGGGGTGCCCTGAGCCATGAACTGTTTGAGTATCCATAACACCTGTTTCATTAAAAATTGCATGGAAGCCCTGACGGTGTGACTGAGTGGTTTGAGAAATGTCCTGCAAACCAGAAGGTCACTGGTTCAATTTCCAGTCAGGACACATGCTTGGGTTGCAAGATACGTCCCTTGTTGGAGGCATGCGAGAGGCCACCAATCCATGTTTCTCTCACATATCCATGCTTCTCTCTGTCTCTTTCTCCCTTCCTTCCCCTTGCTCTAAAATAAATAAATAAATCTCTCTTTAAAAAAAAAAAAAAGTGCAATGAAGAATCTGGGAGTCAGAAATCTTGCAGATAGCTTAATGGATCCCACCTTGCCTGTCCTCTCCCTGGCAAGATGACTGTGTTCCAATCCATGGCCTCCAGTTCTGCCCTCCTCATCTAGCTCATGGTTCTTTGTGAATGCCTGTGTCTTGTCATGGTAATTACTTAAATGAACTGTTGGCTGTTTCTGTAAGATTCTTCAATTGATGTTTGTAATGTTGTCTTCCCTGAATACTGTTGTATGTCCAGTTGCTGTGGGCCAGTGGTGACTGCTCACCGCTGTTTTCTTTCGTTAATACTCAAATCACTCAAGTTCTGAGTAGTTTTTATAATAGAAGATGTCGGGAGAGCCCTTATTTTCTCATAGGGTGGATATTCAAAATGGTCTTAGAGGAGGTTTGGCCCTGGCGAGTGGCAGCTGTGGAGAAGGCATGAGAAAAGTGCTGTGTTCAGATCATACCAGGAATCTGACTTGTGTCCAATAGTGTTTTAGTATAAATGTCACTGGCCACAACTTTTTAAAAATTTCTTTCTCATCTATAACACTTTGCTGTCTTTTCATTTTATCTGTGATTTCACAGCACTAGGCTATGTTCACATTTGTGGCCTCTATGCATCACCTATTCCTCTGCATGGCTCCCTCTGCAGTATTCTTCACTATTGACCTGAACATGTGTTGTTAGGTTGCATACATCCTTATGTAGTCCTCGAACACCCGCTACACATTTATTGACTTTTACTGGCTAAAGGACATAACCAGCCTTCTGCATAGCTTGCCCGTGTCACCAGCAAAAAACCCTGATGAATGCTGTTAGCAGAACAGTGAGTTGCAGATCCTGCTTCACTTCCATATGGTGCTTGCATTTCTGCATTCTTTTTCTGTGGTGAGGTCTCCCCTATTTTGTGATCTTCAGAGACCCAGTGCTGCATAGTAGCACCTTAATCAACCTACCTCCAGGTCCCTTTCTTTCAGACAATCCCATGGAACCAATGTATTATGTGTGACACACCATTGTAGTAGGACTTTGTTTTCCCAACAAAGTCAGCATCTATTTTCTAAGCATTTGTCTGCTTTCAGGTTGTTTGCATAAAACAGAAGATAAGGAAGCCCCTTCTGAGAAGAGTATATCTATAGCTGGAGAATCACAGGTCAGTTCTAAGACGGTTCCTGCACCCCGGAAGACCCATCCCTGTGAGCACTGTGCCTCAGCCTTGACTGCTGTTTTACACCTGACAGAGTTCCAAGGAGCGTACTTTGAGCAGAAAGCATTCTTCAGTGACAAGTGTGTGAGAGGCTTCTGTTTCAGTGCAAACCTTCACCAGCAACAGAGGCCTCCCAGTGCGGAGAAGCCCTGGAAGGGAGATACGGACAGGGCCTCATTTGTGACCAGGTGCAGATACTATGTACCAAGGTCACCTTTCACCCATGGGGAGGTTGGGGAAGACCTCCCAGCCACCTCTGGCTTTCTCCAGCACCAGGCCACTCCTAACAGCAAAGAGCTACCCAGCGGTGGTGAGAGTGGGCAGGGCTTTCACAGTAGAAAAAGTCATCCCCAGTTGGGTGAATGTGAAAAAGCTGCCAGCCACAACCACAAAGTCATTCACTGTCAGGGTGTCTGCTCTGGAGAAGGTCTTTATGAGTGTAGCAAATGTGGGAAAGCATTTGGACAAATCTTTAACCTCATTCAACATAGAAGAGTTCACACTGGAGAAAAGCCATATGAGTGCAGTGTTTGTGGAAAATGCTTTAACCGCAACTTTTTCCTCCTTCGACATCAGAGTGTTCACACTGGAGAAAAGCCGTATGAGTGTAGTGATTGTGGGAAGTCCTTCAGCCAAAGGTCTAACCTCATTCAACATCAGAGAGTGCACACTGGAGAAAGGCCGTATGAGTGTACTAATTGTGGAAAGTTTTTCAGCCAAAGCTCTACTCTCATTCAACACCAGAAAATTCATACTGGAGAAAAACCGTATGAGTGCAGTGATTGTGGGAAATCTTTTAGACTACGCTCTCACCTTATTCAACACTGTCGAGTTCATTCCGGTGAAAGGCCTTACGACTGTGGTGAATGTGGGAAATCTTTTAGCGATACCTCTAGCCTCAGTAGACACCAGAGAATTCATACTGGAGAAAAGCCACATGAATGCAGTGATTGTGGGAAGTTCTTCACCCAAAGATCTGCCCTCATTCAACACCAGATAATTCATACTGGAGAAAAGCCGTATGAGTGTAATGAATGTGGGAAATCCTTTAGAAAACGCTGTGAGCTTATTCAACACCGTCCAGTTCATTCTGGGGAAAAACCTTATGAGTGTGGTGAATGTGGGAAATTTTTTAGCATTTACTCCAGCCTCTTCAGACACCAGAGAATTCACACTGGAGAAAAGCCATATGAGTGCAGTGAGTGTGGGAAATCCTTTGCACAACGCTCTTACCTTATTCAACACTGTCGAGTACATTCTGGAGAAAAGCCTTATGAGTGTGGCAAATGTGGGAAATACTTTAGCTATACCTCTAACCTCATTCAACACCAGAGAGTTCATAGTGGAGAAAATCCTTAAATGTGCTGGGAATGGTTTATTTTTTTCCACTTACTATAAGAAGACTAGAGGAGATATTTGGAGACAATTTACCTAAATTTAAACCTCTCTTAATGAAATATGTTCATACACTGTTCTAGATTCCTCTTAATTTTCAGGTACAGGCAAGGCTCAAAGTAGCTTTGTTGCACTGTCTAACATGCCTAGGGCTATTACCGGATGATGTCAGTGCCAGTTTTTGTATCTGAAGACATTTCACTTCTACCACCTGGCTCACCTGCATATTGTGTGTCAATCACAAACCCCAGCATTCTCAGTCACAACCCAAGCATTCTCCCTTTCACTTGATAAAATAATGAATACTCTAATCTTGTGGTGAGATCCTCATTCTTTACTGTCTGAGTAGGGAGTGGCCCTGACGCAGTGTGGATCCAGCGGACCCATGTTCAGCTAACAAGGACTACCTCTTGAAGGAACATTGTTCTCACATTATGCTGTGATGAATCTTTTAGGTTCTAATTCATGAATATGGAACCTGCTCACTGTACTGCTCTGTTTATGATCTTTTCATGAAGGTCTTTTTGCTTTAGTACCTTTAATTTTTGTGGTTCGATTCACTGCACAAGATTGTTTGAAAGCAGAATTGTGATCTGTCAACACGTAGAGGTGAACAGATTTTGTGGGGATCCCAGACTTACTATGCTTCAGCATAACAGCATTTTGGCAGCAAATCACTCTTGGTTCAATATTGATTTATTTTACATTGCTTCCCAAGGCACTGAAAGAAAGACTGCATGGCTTTGTCCTAATTGTATCCTGGTGCCCAGGTTATTGGAGAGGTAAAAGGTCACTCTGAAGAGGTGTTTCTTGTGCCTCTGTAAACAACATGAGTTATATTTCTTTGTTCGCCATATATATTACGTAATTTTCAGCACTGATGTTAAGACCTCTTCCCCAGGTCCTACAAATGAGCCATGTGCCAATTATGTATGAAATTTCATAGATTGGTGTCATTTCTTATAAGACTGAGTGTTAGGTAGAACCACAATTGAAACAGAAACACTGTATTAATAGTGAGTGGGAGAGACTGCAGTAAATTAGATGGTAGTTGTCTTTTTTGAAAATTCATCCACAAATATTCCAGGGACCATGGCTTGTGTGATCTGTGTGTATAGACATTCCCAGGACCTCCATAACTGTTTCCTCTAGCTTAGGACATTGGCATGAAAAAATAATATAATGATTTGTGGTCCTCCCCAAGCCTCTCTGGGGTGCTCACTTCAAGGATGTTGCTCTACAGGCAAGAAAACAAAGCTAGAGAAAAGGATAATCCTGTAGTCAGTCCCAAGATGGGTGTCTTGTGACCCAGTCAGCATTTCTGATAGTTCGATGGTCATATTCATCACTGTTGCCAGTATTTGCTACCACTGAGGCAAGGCTGCCACTCCTCAGACATGAGGAGAGAGGTGGTAGATTTCACATAGGGTGCCAACCTAATTTTCTAAGAAAAGGGGGACATCTGAGTCGTTAGTAGGAACCACTTTTTAAAGCTTTATTCAGGTATATGTATAAATGACATGCAACAAAGTGCACTTAACTAACATGGACTGTTTGGTGAGCTTTGCCATATGCATAAAGCTGTGAAACTGTCCCACTTGAAAAGAACTTCTGCCACCCATAAAAGTAGCTTTACAGTTTTAAGTACACAAAACAGAGTTTATTCTTTTTTTTCTTCGCCTACCTAATATACTTGCTACTTTACTTTCCTCTGTAAAAATACAGTGGGATTTGGAGAAGTACAAAATTAGTTATCAGGAGTTGCTTTTAGAGAATGATCCACAAGTGCCTTATCAGTAGTCAGATGTTGATACCATGGACCACCGCTGGCACAGTAATCTTCATACTTCCAGCTCTGCTAACTGTGATTCAACTATTTTTATTTTATGCTTCATTTTTAATGATAGCCATTGCTTTTTTAAAAAACGATTTTATTTACTTTTAGAGAATTAAGAGAGGAAGGAGAAAGAGAGAGAGAGAAACATCAATGTGTGGTTGCCTCTCACATGCGCCCAACCAGGGAGCCGGTGCATAACCCACACGTGTGCCCTGACTGGGACTCGAACCAGCAACCCTTTGGTTCAGAGGCCAGCGCTCAGTCCACTGAGCCATGCCAGCCAAGGCAGCCATTGCTTTTTGTAATTCTTTATTGGATTAAAAGGTGGCCTTAAGTTTGTGATAGAGACTGAGTATAGTACTTGTGTCCCTTGTAATATTTTGCCTCCTAGTGTGCCCATTTGGGGTGTCCCTTCATCCCGAAGGTGCCCTGCAGGTCCTCTCCTTCCCAGATGACAATGGACCCTGTATTAGTCTGCCCAGGCTGGCATAACAAAGTGCTTCACTCTGGGCAGCTTGAAAAACAGAGTCCTATTTTTTCACATACTTGGAGATGAAATCAGGTCAAGATGTCAGCAGAGTTGGACTTCCCTGAGGCTTCTCTCCTTGGCTTGCAGGGGGCCATCTTCTCTGTCCTCACATGGCCCTTCGTATGTATGTGTCCGGGACCTAACTTCTTGTAAGGATGCCAGCTCACTCTCTTGATTACTTTACCTTTAAAACATCCTGTTTTCAAATGCATTCACATTCTGACATACTGGGGTTAGGACTTAAGAGTATGGATTGAGGGCTAGCAGTTCAGCCCATGACAGCCCCCGTTCATCTAGCATTAAGGACCTTTCCAGAGGACTATCTCATTTAACACCCCTGAAATTATCCAGCAGGGGAACTATTTATTATGTCTACTTCTCAAAGGAGGGATCTGCAGCTCAGAGAGGGTGCCCAGCTGCAAGCGTGTGAGCTGGGAAAGATTTAGTGGGCCACCTGAGTCAGCTCACCTTGCTCCTTTGCATCCTCTCCCCGAGGGAAACAGCAGACTCCAGCCAGACCCTCAGGTTCCTTTCCTGTGAGGTGGGACCATCTAGAAACAACATCCTAACATCACCTGAGGCCCCCGGGCCCCTCCCCCCCACATACTGCACCTTCACTGCAAACTCCTGCCCTCCTGTGTCCACGGAGGCCACACACTATCGCCCTGGCATCCCAGACAGGGTCATCACTGTCACCTCAAACACATCACTGGCCCTCATCATTACATTGAATGATTGTGTTTAAACCCTGTTGGTCTTCCTCCCAATATCACTGTGGGGTGCTCCCTCCCATCAGTACCATCAGTCCTGAGTGTCACCAAGTAATTACTCTCACTCTGTGGACATTGAGAGACATGCTGAAGCACTGAAGGAAGTTCAGGCTCTTCCTTCCGCCCCCCAACCCTCCCTCCTCCCCACGCCCCCTTCCATGCCCAGCCCCAGCAGGTGACCTTAGCCCTGACTTCCTCCCCTTCTAGCTAAAGTGCAAATCAATGACTGACAATTACTGTGAATCCTTAAGAACCTTCCTTCTCCCCGCTGGGGAACTAGACCAACCACTCCCTAACCAAGGGAGCAGACCAAGACTGTCCCACTCTACAGCCTGCACCTCTCACATGGGACATGACAGCATCTCACACCTGTCACACTGTCCCCATGGTGTATATGAGGTGTCCAGGCTGTGCTGAGTGTCAGTATCACAGGACTTTCTCACAGGGTCCCCATCCCATCTGATACCTGAAATGTCTGTATCCAGGCTGTACTCCTGTGTGCTTGCGAAACAGTCACAAGATTTGTGTCTCCACGCACGTCAAATAGAAATTACTTACATTTGGCAAACAGTAAGGGACCAATACAAAATAAAAACAAGAGGTTTAACTCTCTGCTGAAAATGGGAAAAGATGTTCTTCCCTTTTCTTGTCTTAGAGCATTTACCTTCAAAACCTGTACGTACTTTCCCATCTGTAAAGTGTGTGCCTTTGAAGACCAGCTGAGCATTTTGTCAGTCCAGGCTCCCAGTCCCTGTGAGGGGAGGAGGCTAACCTGGGGGGGCGCTGTGTCCATTTGTAAAACTACCTCCTGTTTAGTATATGTGTTTTACCCCTCTTCATACAGTGTTTTTCTTCTGTTTTTATCTTAAAAACTTATAATATGTGTATCAGCTTAGTTATATAGAGCAGTGGTCCCCAACCTTTTTGGCACCAGGGACCAGTTTCGTGGAAGACAGGGTGGAGGGTGGGGGGATACCAGGAGGCACGGGGGAGCTCAGGTGAGCTTCACTCACCAGCTGGGATGGGAGAGGGAGGGGAAGAGACAGGAGGCGGGGCTCAGGTGAGCTTTGATGGGGTGGTTCCTAACAGGCCTGCAGACAGACAGCAGTGCACGGCCCCAGGTGTTGGGGACCCCTGATAGCGGGTTCTCCTTTTTTGTTTGTTTTTTGTACTTTCTTAGCAGAGTACCTGTGACACACATCTCTTTCTGGCTTAATGCTTATTCAATAGTAAAGTGTTTTCTGTCTGTACTATGAGAATGTCTGGGCTGGGAAAATATTTTATATTCCCAGCAGTTATCATCACACACCTGCCTGCGGAAACCAAATGTCCCACCCATCCCATCAGTATCTAGTGTATAGGAAATATGGGCAGGGGTGATCAGTTAAACAGCACCAGACAGTCACCAAGCCACATCTAAGAAATGAGAAATGCTAATGTGCAAATGCCTCAGCAATTTCAGCAAATGATTAGAACGGTACTTCAAAACCATAGGATAGGAGACTTTTGAGACAGCTACTGAAACTCACAGGTTCTCACTGGATCCTGATAGCAGTAAGTCTAGCTTAATAAAACAACTCATTGCTAAGACAATTGAGAAAATTGGCCATCAATATTTTAAAATATTTTTATTTTGTGTGAAAGTTACTGGCCTTGTGAAAGAGACTTTACATTTAAAAAAAAAGGGTTTTGAAGAGGTTATGCATTTTTTTTGGTAATGCATATACACATCTGCAAATATATATATTTCCATAGTACTACTCTATTTAGAACATACTTCATAACTTCGAGGCGGTATTTTTCATTCATTACCTCCCCCTCTAAAATGTTAAGTTTTAGGAGGGCAGGGGGCCCTGATCAGTGTGGCTTGGTTGGGCATCATCCCGCCAAGCGAAAGATCACCAGTCCCGTTCCTGGTCAGGGCACATGCCTGGGCTGCAGGTTTGGTCCCAGGTCAGGATGCATGTGAGAGGCAACTCACATTGATGATTGTTGTTTCTCTCTCACATCAATGCTTCTTTTCCTCTTTCTCTCCCTCCCTCACCCTCTCTTGAAAAATAAATAAATCAAAACTTCAAATAGAAAAAAGGAGGGCAGGGAATTTTTCTTTTGTTCACCAAAGCATCTCAGGTGCCTAAACATCTCAAGTGGCTGAAACATTGTAAATGACCAATAAATACCTATTGAATAAATGAAAGTGTAATGTTTGTGTTGTTTACTTTTTAAAATCCAGGAATGTG